GCTAGATTAGAGTGTGTAATATCTGCTTATTGTCTTTGTGGTTGCCACCAAAAGGTGGATCCTCCAACATAAGAAAGTAAGAAGTTATTATCCATTCTTTGAAGGTTCCAGAAAACTATTCACGATAGTGAAATAGTGGAGCTATCAATAATAGAAGCTATGGCACGAAATTTGATATTGAAAAATTCAATGGGAGAAATTTCTCATTGTGGAAATTGAAGATGAAAGCCATCCTGAGGAAAGACGGTTGTCTAGCAACTATCAGTGAAAGGCCAGTGGATTTCACATATGACAACAAATGGATCGAAATAGACGGAAATGCTATGGCAAACTTTCATCTAGCATTAGCAGATGAAGTATTGTCAATTATCGAGGAGAAGAAGACAGCTAAGGAGATATGGGATCATCTCACCAAACTGTACGAGGCCACATCGTTGCACAATAAAATTTTCCTTAAGAGAAAATTGTACACTCTCCGTATGCCAGAACCTATTTCAGTGACGGAGCACTTAAATACACTGAATACTTTATTTTCTCAGCTTACATCCTTAAGCTGTAAAATAGGAGAACAAGAACGTGCTGAACTTCTACTTCAAAGTCTCCGGATTCGTATGATCAACTCATCATCAACTTGACAACAGTAACACTAGTCTAGTCTTTGATGTTGCAGCTGCTGTTCTACAGAAGAAAATCGGCGCAAGAACAAGGAAGACAGAAGTAAATCTGCAACAAGCAGAAGCGTTGACAACAATGACAACGATGAGAGGGAGATCAACAGAACGTGGCCAAAGCAGCAGTCACAAACATGGTAGATCGAAGTCGAGGAGCAAGAAGAATTTAAAGTGTTACAATTGTGGAAAGAATGGTCATTTGAAGAAGGATTGTTGGAGTCTAAATAAAAACTCCAATCCACAAGGCAATACCGCAAACACTTCAGATGATGGAGATGCTCTATGCTGTGAAGTGTCAACCACCGTGGAATGAAGAAAACGATTTGCAGATATGGCTCATTGATTCGGGAGCAACATATCACATGACCTCAAGAAGAGAATGGTTTCATCATTAAACCTGTCTCAGGAGGATGTTTATAGTTGCAATGATCATGCCTTAGAGATCGTTGGCGTGGGAACATCAAATTGAAGATGTATGACGGAACAATTAAAGTTGTTCGAGATGTGCGGCACGTGAAAGGCATGAAGAAAAATTTATTATCCTACGGATTGTTGGATAATAATGCAAGCAAGATTGAAACACGGAAAGGAATCATGAAGGTGTTTCGTGGAGCGCTTGTGGTGCTGAAAGCGAAAAAAAATAGCTGCAAACTTGTACATGTTGAAGGGAGAGACTTTGGTAGAGCAGAAGCCTCTGTTGCCTCATGTAGTTCAGATTCGGCAATGCTATGGCATCAGAAACTTGGACACATGTCAGAACAAGGAATGAAAGTCCTTGTGGAGCAAAAGCTACTTCCAGGCTTAACAAAGTTATCACTTCCTTTGTGTGAGCATTGCATAACAAGTAAGCAGCACCGGTTGAAATTCAACACATCAAATTCTAGAGGCAAAAGTGTTCTAGAATTGGTTCACTCTGACGTATGGCAAGCACCAGTAACGTCCCTAGGTGGAGCAAAATACTTGTCTCATTATTGATGACACTCCAGGAGATGTTGGGTGCACCCTATTAAGAAGAAGTCAGACGTGTTTTCAACTTTCAAAAACTTCAAAGCGCGGGTGGAACTTGATTCTGGAAATAAGATCAAGTGCTTTCAGAACAGATAATGGAGGAGAACACAAGCGAAGATTTGATGACTTTTGCAGGAAAGAAGGCATCAAAAGATAGTTCACAGTGGCGAACACTCCTCAACAAAATGGAGTGGCAGAGCGGATGAACAGAACCTTGTTAGAAAGAACAAGAGCAATGTTGAGGGATACAGGCCTAGAAAAATCATTCTGGGCAGAAGCAGTCAATACCGTCTGTTATTTGGTGAATCGAGCTCCATCAACTGCAATAGAACTGAAGACACCAATGGAGATGTGGACTGGTAAACCAGTTGATTATTCAAACCTCCATGTATTTGGAAGTGTACGTGATGTACAACGCCCAAGAAATTTCAAAGCTTGATCCAAAATCCAGGAAATGCAAATTCTTGGGGTATGATGATGGAGTAAAGGGGTATCGCTTGTGGGATCCCATGCCCGCAAAGTGATCATTAGCAGGGATGTTATCTTTGTAGAAGATAGCTACAAAGAAAGAAGACGATGATAACGCTGAAAAGTCAGAGACTACTCAGATACCTGTGGAAAAGAGTTTGAAGAAGGAGATTCTTCTAAAGCGGAACCAGCACATGAACAGAACCAGAGAGTTATGAAGCTCAACACTCGTCAATCAGATCGTGTGAGAAGACGTCCCAATTGGTACTCAGATTATGTTATAGAAGGTAATATTGCATACTGCCTTTTAACAGAGGACGGTGAGCCATCAACATACCAGGAGGCAATAAACAGCTCAGATGCTTCACTGTGGATGATGGCGATGCAAGAAGAAATCGAAGCCCTTCATAAAAATAATACATGGGACCTTGCGCCACTACCACAAGGAAGGAAGCCAATTGGTAACAAATGGGTCTTCAAAATCAAGCGAAATGGTGACGATCAAGTTGAGAGGTATCGTGCAAGATTGGTGTTCAAAGGATATGCTCAAAAAGAAGGTATTGATTTCAATGAAATTTTTTCTCCTGTGGTTCGACTAACAACAATTGGTAACAAATGGGTCTTCAAAATCAAGCGAAATGGTGACGATCAAGTTGAGAGGTATCGTGCAAGATTGGTGTTCAAAGGATATGCTCAAAAAGAAGGTATTGATTTCAATGAAATTTTTTCTCCTGTGGTTCGACTAACAACAGTTCGAGTAGTCTTGGCAATGTGTGCTACATTGAATTTACATTTGGAACAGCTAGATGTTAAAACAGCTTTTCTTCATGGAAATCTTGAAGAAGAGATCTATATGCTCCAGCCTGAAGGTTTTGAAGAAGACAAAAATAAGAACTTGATTTGCAGGTTGAACAAATCTCTGTACGGTCTAAAGCAGGCGCCGAGAGGTGGGTATAAGAGATTGATTCCTTCATTATGTGCTTGGATACAACAGACTTAATGCAGACCCTGTGCGTATTTCAAGAGGTCTGGTGATAACGATTTTGTTATATTGTTGTTGTATGTGGATGACATGTTGGTTGCAGGACCCAACAAAGATCATATTGAAGAATTGAAGGCACAACTGGCTAGGGAATTTGAAATGAATGACTTAGGATCAGCAAACAAGATTCTAGGGATGAAAATTCACCGAGACAGAAGTAATAGGAAGATTTGGCTTTCACAAAAGAATTACTTGAAGAAAATCTTGTCACAATTTAGCATGCAAGATGTAAGCCAATTTTTACCCTCTTCTATTAACTTCAAATTATCCCAGTATGAGTCCTAGCAGTGAAGAAGAGAGGATGGAGATGTCTCGAGTACCGTATGCATCAGCAGTGGAAGTTTAATGTTCGCTATGATATGCACAAGGACCATACATTGCACAAGCAGGGGAGTGGTTAGTCGATACATGGCGAATCCAGGCAAAAAGCATTGGAATACAGTAAGAGGATCCTGAGATACATCAAATGGACCCAAATGTTGCATTATATTATGGAGGATCAAACTTACTAATCAATGGGTATGTAGATTCTGACTATGCAGGGATTTGGAAAAGCAAATCTACAGGATATGTGTTCAAAGTTGCTGGTGGAGCTGTAAGTGGTTTCAAAATTGCAGTCAGTTGTTGCTACATCCACAACAGAAGCAGAAATGTAGCAGCTACACAAGCCAGTAAGAAGCAATTTGGTGAAGATGCTATTGGAGGAGCTTGGGCACAATCAAGAGTATGTCTCTCTATTTTGTGACAGTCAAAGCGCTTTGCATCTAGCAAGGAATCCAGCATTTCATTCAAGGACAAAGCACATACGAGTTCAATATCATTTCATTCGTGAAAAGGTGGAAGAAGGGACGGTAGATATACAGAAGATATATACCAAAGACAACATAGCAGATTTCATGACGAAGGCGATCAACGCTGATAAATTTACTTGGTGTCGATCCTCTTGTGGCCTGTCAGAGACGTAAGCAACATGATGGTACAAGGTAGAAAGAATGGTGTGAAGATATGATTGTTCCAATCAAATCTTCAAGTGGGAGATTGTTGACTAAGCACCGAAAGGTGCATATAATAAATGCGCCGAAAAAATGAGTTGTTTTTGTTGATTTTTGGACAATGGCTAAATCATAATTTAGTCATTAAACTTTAGGGTATTTACAAATTAGTCCTTAGGTTTCAACTATAAATACCCTAGCTCATTTAGCTTCAAAATCATCCCAAAGCATTCTAGCTTTCTTCCAATACTAGAGAGAATTTAGAGAGTTTCTTGAGAGTTGTTTTCTCCTTTTTATCGAGAGAGAATTATCATCGTTTTCTCCTTAGTAGATCGAGAGAGGTTGTAATTCCTATTTTCTCATAGTGAAATTCTTCTACCGTTGCCCGTGGTTTTTACCCTATTTTTTAGGGGTTTTCCACGTAAATTTTGTGTCTCTTTTATCTTCATTTTTATTTTCTCAAATTATCAATTACAATTTTACTCTATCCGATAGCCGTCTTCCGCAACAATCACAGCCTGGCACCGGGTGATAGTTACGTGACCTTTTCGGTTTCTGTATCTGTTTTGTGTCTCTTGATATTTTATGATGAATGATAACGTGATGCTAACCTTGAAAAGGAAAGTATGTTAAACTAGATTTTTATGAATTATCATGAATATTTTACACGATTTTTTTGGCATAAAAATCACGGCATTCAATCACATTCAAGACGATGGATGTCGTGTCATGCCCTTGTTCCTCACCTGTCGCGCTCTTTATCTTGTCCCAACTTAAAACAACGACGACACCAACGGATTCCCCATTTTTATGGTTTCACAACAGCCACTCCACCCTCACAGAAAGAAAGAAAAAAAACAGTTGACTTCTCTTGAAAACACGAACTGCAAACGAAGACCTTACACTGTAAAACAACATGGTGGTGGGAGTTCTTAACCTCAACATCCCCCAAATCCCTCTTTCCTCGTCATGTCCCTTGCGTAAACAACCAAGGGCACGTTTCATTTCCATTAAAGCTTCCTTAGAGTCCTCGAATTCCCAAACCAGTATCAAGGAAGAAGAAAACCCAGGCTCCGTGTCTTCTTCTTCGTCGGCAGCAACAACGTTTGCTCCTCCTCCGAACTTCAAGGCGCCAGAGCCAAAGCGGTTTGCTGTTAGACCTGACAAGACTTTGGAAATTGCTGGGGCGGCTCTTGCCTTGTTCTTCCGATTCGGAACTGGTGTTTTTGTTTCTGGGTATTATCCCTTCTTTCCATTTCTTCTTCATTTGTTTGTTAATTTCATTGGTGGGGTTCTAAGGGTTGATATTAAGTGGAAAGAATTAGTTATGTGAGAACTGGGATGAGTTTGAAATAGTTGTAAATGGCAAGATTGAAGATTATCAACTTGAATTACTTGTAGGCTGTAGTTGTGGCACTTCACTTAATGATTCATGTCAATGGCATTGGATTGGACTATTAGATGTCTAACAATTTGTATCTGTGGCAGCTATTCCGCATCCATTGTTTCTGAGAATGAAATTCCACCTGGACAATATTGTTTAGAAGTAGGAGGTACGGATTCATTTTTCTTTGGTTTCATTTCCTTATTTCTCTGCAACATTTTGTCAAACATTTTGTCAAACATTTTGTCTAAACAGTTTCAAATTTAATGGCTCAATGTTGATCTGATTATAGCCTTATTAAACAGGATCTAAGGTAAAAGAGACATCAAAGATAGGCCCTCGTCCAGAGAAACCTATTGAGATATATGAGTTTGAAGGGTACTTGCTGCTTAATTTCCATTGTTTGTTCTCCCCTATTTAATGCTTGTGCTAATTGCCAACTTCCTTTATCATTCAATGTGGATAACCTTTTTACCCTTCATTCTACACTTTGGTTTTTCATGTTTATATTCTTATGAAGATTGATTCTTGTGTTTTTCTTTTTTCCATAAAATAATGGATGATGTGGACTGCCTGCTACTCCAGTTGTCCATTTTGTCGAAAGGTAGTTAATAATCCGCTTCATTTAATGTCTTTTTCTACTTCAATCGCATCCAACAATACACGTATCGTTTAATATGACCAGAAGATAACAGGGATTATGGTTCTAATTGGGGATAGCTATACTTCCCCAAATGGGACTTGTATTAAACTATGCTTCTCTAATTTTCCTAATAAGTCTTTAGTTGGAACTAAAGTCACCAAGCATGAATAAAGGTTCATGATAAAACTCTGGCGTGTTCCTCTTAACACATTACTGAAATCATAATCACCGAACTTCATGTTTTAGATCGACGTTTTACTAATGTGCAGGTTAGGGAAATTGTTGCAGTTTTGGATCTCGATGTTCTGTTTTATCCTTGCCCCAAAAATGGTCCAAATTTTCGTCCTAAGGTTGCTGAGATGGGTGGAAAGCAGCAGTTCCCCTACATGGTTGGATACTATTTCTTTCTCCTGCTCCGCATCTTTCTTAGTTTACCATTGGTAAAATAATATATATGAGCCCCTGAATTTTACAATTCTTTGAAGTAAGTCCTTGTGCTTGTATTGTACCTAAATAAACTCTTAACCTTCAACTTAAGGCTAAAGCCTTATTTGAATGTGATAAGAGTGTAAGGACTTACTTATGAGAAAAGGTAAAGTTCAAGGGTTTTTTTCCTTATTTTAGCCTTCACTTTTTCCCCTGGTTTTGTACTTGAGATTTGCACTTATGTTTGTATTCATACAGCCATTGAATTGGCATTGAAAATTGTGATGTAAAGTGGGAGTTCGACTTGGAACATTTGTTTCTGTTTTCAGGTGGATCCGAATACGGGCGTTGCCATGTATGAATCAGATGAAATAATAAAGTATCTAGTTGAAAAATATGGTACGTGTGGTTACATCTATATACTACGGTTGTGTTTCTTCTATTTCTAGGTTAATCAATGGATCATATTTGTGGATGCATCTATGCTTGATACACAATTGTAGTCCTATGCTTTTATACCAATGTATCGTGTAGTTGCATTCTGTTTCTCTTTTATTCTTTTCTTTTTTTCGAGTGGCCTTCTATAAAGTCTGTTTCCTTAACATGCCTTGATTACTTCCTCCTCTAGGCTGATTCATATATAAGATATCTCGAAATATCAAACTTATGCTATTGTTTCTTAGTAACTTAGTATGCTATGTCCCCCGATTGATCGGTGTTCTGTTGTGTTTTAGGTGATGGAAGTGTTCCTTTCATGCTATCACTTGGTCTATTGACGGTTGGTAAACTTTCTTATCATAGATTTTGTTTCTCTCTATGAAATGCTCAATTTTTTTCTTTCTTTTGTGGGTGTTGCAGACATTGACAGCAGGATTTGCAATGATTGGTCGAATGGGAAGGGTGAGACGGATATTAAATTCTTGTTTTATTACATTTTGAAGATGTCCGGAATTATTCTCCAAATCTTTCTGCGTCATTAACATGCTAATTTGTCAAATAAATTGGTCTAAATTTGCTGCTTTCTGGAAAAACCCTAAACCCAAACTTATGTTGAGCAGGGAAACTCCTACACCCCATCAAAAATGCCTCCCAAACCACTTGAGATATGGGCATATGAGGTATTTTACTATTAATTTTTTAATATATTTATGTATGGTGATTTAGTTCCTTCTCTTAAAGTGCATGGAAACTAGTAACAAATTATAGTTTGAATAGTTTTGAACTTGAAGTTACTTATTTTGGTTCAAGGGTTCTCCGTTCTGTAAGATTGTGCGAGAAGTGCTGGTAGAATTGGAGTTACCACACATTCAACGCAGGTAAATCCCTAGGCTCGATACTATTAAAACCATCATCTTTTAACACATGTTAATGGTCCATGAAAAAACCAAATATCCAGCTTGTGAATAACTTACAAGATACATCAAGCATGTCTTGTCCACCAAGTGATCATGATCATCTTCATGTTTTCATTTTCAATGGTTTCCACTTTGATGGATTGGCATGCCATGCCCTTTATATGTATTCATTTATGCAGCAAGAGATATCATGCTACTGATTTATTATTATTGTTCTCATGTATCAGTTGTGCACGAGGCAGCCCAAAACGGCAGATCCTGTATGAGAGAGTGGGACATTTTCAGGTACATAGTGCTTTTCTGAAACAAATTTGAATATCTATTATAAAAGCCAGATTACCAATTTGGTTGGCAAACAGGTACCTTTTTTAGAAGACCCCAACACAGGGGTGCAGATGTTTGAAAGTGCAGAAATAGTGGAGTACTTGAAAGCTACCTATGCTCAGTAATTAATACATCTCCGGTTCGTCTTAAGCTTTGTGGTGTATCAAAGGAAGAACATTAGTATTAATTGAAAATTAGTCATTCTCAGAGTAAATAAGTAAACTAGTCAAACATTATAAACCATCCACCTTAGTAGTCAACAATTTCCGCATATGGAGGCAGAACATGCGGAGACTATGCAAAATTGAAACCCACTTTGAAGCATGAAGCCTCATCTCAACCCCTCCTCCGCATTCGGACTTAAATGAGACAAATACATCTCGAGTTTAATTCGAGATCAATACTTGAATCAATAGAATTAATTCGAGTTTTAACTCGAGAACGAATCGAATCGAGTTATTTGATATTTGACAACTCGAAAAAAAAATATATTAAACTTTTTTTTTAAAAAAATTAAATTATTAATAATATTAATATTTATATATTTATTAAAAATATAATATAAGATTTTTATTTATTTAAGGTAGACGTGACAAATTTGATCCTTACTCAATTACCCAAATTGATTTACCCGATATAGACCCTCAGAGGATGACTCGAAATTGATTCGCAGCCCGAAATAACCCAAATCGACCTGAACTTTAATTGAATCGAAAGTAATCCGAACCAAAATTAACTCAAACCGAAACTAATCTGAATCGAAGCAACTCGAATTTAGTTTACCCATACCCGAATCAAACTTTGAATCGATTTTAACTCGATAATTGAGTCTAAATGAATGAATAATTTATTTATTTATTTTTTATTATTATCTTATTTTAGCATTGATAAATAGTAAAATGATCTATGTTTTATTCTCACTTTAGAGTAGCCACCACTTCTAATAATAGTTTAATGATTCAATATGATCTTTTCTAAGTTAAAAGATCTTCTATATGTATGATGAAATAACTTCTAGCTCTAAATTTGAATGGTGACAATATATATGAACTTAAAATTCTTTATTTTAAAAATTTATTGATTCGATTGTTTAAAACAAAAACGTATAACTCTAAATTTGAGATGTGACAATATATATCGTATAAAATTCTTGAATAGTAAGTAATAAAGAGATGCATTAAAAGTTATGACTACAAAGAGCGATAATAATTGACCCGAAAATCTAAAAATTGACCTGAAAATCTAAACGTTGACCCAAAAATTTAAAGGTTAACCCAAATTAAAACTGACCCGAATTGACCCAAAAATCTTATGGTTAACCTGAACCGAAATCAAATGATATGATATTGACCCGATTCGAAGCTAACCAATCTGATATTAACTCGACCTGGAAATCAACCGATTCAATTTTGACTCGACCCGATACCCAACTCGAACTGAATTTTCATTGACCATAACTAAACCCAAACGAAATATGATCCGACCCGAACCGAATCTAAACTGAAATAATCTAGACCCGAAATAACCCGACCCTTACTCAATCCAAATGACCCGATTGTCACCTCAAATTTAAGGTTCAAAATTGAGCTCGAGTTGAAGCTTGAACTAAGTTTGAGTTTGAGTTTCAATCAAGCTAAGTTTGGAAATATTTTGGGTTTAAGATTTTTCGAACTTGTGTCCAGTTTTAATTTTTTTATTTTGTATTCGAGTCAAGCTTGATAATTTTAAGCTTGTTAGTTTTCGAGTATAGTTCAATTTTGAATTTTTCAAATCAAATCAAATTCAACAATACTCGAGCTCGATTTAACTGGTTTACGATCCTACTTGTATATATAAAATATATTAAAAAAACTATAAAAACATGAGTGGATAAAAAGCATATAAATGGTTTTTTTAAAAATAAATCAACAAATGATTGAGAGCAGCAATGAGAAAATTAAATACAAATTTATTAGTTTCAGTCTTTCTTTGATTAAATTAATATTAATTAATTGGTATCGTCAATTCAATAAAACGTTTTTTTATAGTAATGATAATAACCAGGTTTTGTAATAACAAAGAAGAAAATTTATATAAAATATAGAGAGAAAATGTGATAAGGAGTATAAATTCCACACGATTCTTTTGAAGTTTTATTAAAATTACAAAAAATCCAAAATATATATACAAAACTATAAAACCAAATCAAATTTTCAAGAAAACGTGGAAAATGGAAAAATTACCTCTTGATTATCATTCCACGTCACCGGAGGAGAAATTCAGAGCAGCAGCCGGGACCCACAAGTTACCCACCACGACCGCATACCCTTACCTATGACCCACCACCAACTAAGCATTCTGGCTCGGATCTCCTACCAGAAGCGAACCGCTTCATTCCACCTATATTGACCGGTCCACTCTCCGCTATTTCAGTCCCTGAACTTAATGTGGCGTCACCTGCATCCGCCGGCAATCGAGACCTGATGCTGCTGTCCCCCGGAGACGACACCGTTTCTGGGAGAGTGTGCGATTCACGTGTTTTACCATTGCACCCAAATATGGCCCGAAAACTCGAAAAGAAACCGCTCCCTGTTCTTGTTGTTTTCTTTCTAACTGTTTCGACTCCGGCCGATTTTTGGCGTTTCTTTTTTAATCGGCGATTGCGGTCTCGTTTCGATCTCACTCTTCCCATACAAGAAACCTTAGGCGAAGATGGTTCGACGACGGACGGATCCGATTTAACCGACCCGGACCGTTGCGGAAACAATCTAGAATTTTCAAGCTTAATACTCTTCCTGTTCTTCGTGTCCACGAAGCAAGATTTATGCGGTTTCGGTAATCCGAGGATGGAAGGCTTAGATTTCCTTAAAGAAAAGCGTTGAGAATTAAGATTTGTGGAGTTGGAAAAAGAGTTTCGTTTCTGCGAGTTTTTCCGTTCGTAAAAAGCGTAGCTGTCGACCCAATCGAGCTCGGCGTCTTTGGATAGCAAAAACGATTCTGGCGGGAAGTCCGGTGGGATGTCTTCTTGGAGAGGCTTCACCGGCGTGTGGAGGCGGCCGTCGGAGGAGTCGCCTTCAGTGGTTGTTAGTGTCTCGCAGACAATTTTGTTGTCGCAGGGGGGAACGAGGGTTTCCAAATTGCCCCGTGGCATTATTCGGAGGCTTAAACCTAGAAAATAAAAGAGATGAAGTTTTGGAGAAGATCTATTTACATTTCATTGCGGAAAATAGAGTCAGAAATTGATTGATGTTTTGAGGGACAATTTTCAACACTCACTCCTCCACTGCATCTATTTGTTCTATGAGATCTAATCTTATAAATTATTTTCTATTATTATCTGGAATTTTAAGGACTTATCATCATTAATAACAGACTAAACTCGGGACTTAACATATGTACGTAAAGATTAGCCAGCTTGGCAAAAGATATAAGAGTATAATCAATGATCAGCAAAAAATTATTATTATATTGGTTTGGTTTACTTGATGGGATTCTTACGATTAATTCAACAAATATGGTCTGCCCACGTGGTATTGAATTCAATCTAGCAGATCATTTTCTTAATCATCTTGATTAATAAATAACATTTATTTATAAATATTGTACAAGGTTATGGAAATTTATTTAAATTAGAATTAATTAACATTATAAGTATTAATAATTAAATTTAAACATTAACTCAAATTTCATAAACTTGATTGGGAAAAAATTCAAATTAAATGTGTCATAATATACGATTCGTCAACTCAATTAATTTAAAAAAGATATTCGACTCGATCAAATATTCATCTCTAACAACAACATTGAACCTCCCAAAAATATAATATTAAGAGCTAAAATCTTGTTTAACCATATCTCAAATGATGCTAAAACTTGTAATTTCTCTACTTAAGATGGTGGTAAATAAAATTAGAAAAAGTAACTGGGACTGAAACAAACAATGAGAAGCGTATGAATGGTTCATTCATTAGATAAAAGGAGTTTGTACTTTGAATTTGATAGCTTGATGTTTGGTGCAATTAAGGATATAGGTAAATGTGGACAAAAATATGGTTTCCATCAATGTTTCAGCTTATTTTATACATATCATAATATCACCCTAAAGATTGGATGTAAATCATATATCTAAGTAACATGTGGACTTTGTTTTTAGGGTATAATTATATTCTACGCATAATTATATTGTTTTTAAACAATCTGATATGATTATAAGATAATATTTGTTTAGAAATTTTTAATCATTAATAATGTATACACCTTCTGCAGACGGTGTTCAAACCCGAATCTTCTAGAGAACAACACTCTCTTTTATTACTAATACCACTCGAAAATCCAATTATATCATTATATATATTGTGTGATAGAAGGATGTGTATATATGGAGCAGACTAAACATGAAATTAGTGTCGGATGGTCTGTCATATATATTTGGGTAGAGATTAAAAGCTTGATCTTGACCTTTGTAAACAGTGAACATCATGTTAAGTAATGGGCATGCATGGAAGAATGGAAACTAATTAATTGTCATTAAATGTAGAGTAAATTGAGAAGCAATGTAGCCATGTGATGTGTCTTTTCTTGTTGCTTCAACCTTTACATAGAAACAGAAACATCCATCAAATTCATGCATATGCCTTACTTCCTTGCATTAAACCTTTCAATCATGCCTCTCTCTGTATGTCTGTAATATATATGATTAGAGATCAGTCATTTAAATTATATTTGATTTATTTTTCTGTAGTTTGAGATGATATTTAAATTTAAATATTAAAATTCTTTTTCTGTAGTTTGAGATGATATTTAAATTGGAATGGCGTGATGATGCGAATAAAAATTCCATAATGATGATCATGCGACCAAAATAATATTAAGTGTAGAAAGATTGCAGTAGGCGTACTTGTAGCTATGCTTGCCTTCTTCCCTACAGGGAGGACATTGTTTTTATTGCACTAATCAATCTTACAAGTAAACCACACAATACCTTTGCCAAGTTAATAAAGTTAAAACTTAATTAATGGGTTATATAATACTTTAAAACATTGTTTTTAGTATTAATATAACAACCTTAAAACGATGTCCTTTTAATTATATCATCGTTATTTATGTCATTTCATTTTTTGAATTAACAAATCAATGTTACAATTAACTTTAAATAAAAAAATTAGTATTAAAATTAGGCTTAAGTATAAAATAAGGGCCTAAATTATACATATTTTCACGAATATGTGCCTAAAGTATTTTTCGGCCTATCTAGGTGCATAACG